TGTTTAATGAAAGAACTGTATGTCAACCTAAAGTATCACTGTGACCACTTTCAAGGTATGGCCCTAGCAGAAATTGCAAATTAAGTTACTAGGGAGGATTCAGATACACTTCTTTCTGAGGAAGCGGCATTTTTCTTGCAGAGATTTAGAATCAATAACAGTTTAAAAAAATGTAAGGTAAAATAGCTGAGTTTCCCAAGCTCTGAAAATCGTATGTCACAAAAAAGATGAAAAATTGACAATCCTGGCCAGCTGTGCTCTTGTGCCTTCCCTCATATGTTCTTACTGGAAACTTGATTATAGAAACATGTCTGATTTGGTGGAAGACTTTCTAGACTCATTGTACTTATGGGAAGACTTCCTGGTTGCCCCATAATGAGTTGTTATATAGTTGTTTAAAAAAGCAACAAAGCACTTGCTTACATTGTCCTTCACAGGTCAATGATTGCTAATAGGATATAGAATCAGACCCTCCTCCAGGTCAACAGTACACAGCTGTCCCAGGTGGGTAGTGATTATGTGTCATTACAGCCGGATTCTTGTTCAGTGTTCTGTCAAAAATGAGATTTTTGTGTTCATTCCATTTCTTAATGGACAGGTGTTACAAACAAATTGGCATTAATTGGCAACATTGTTGGCGGTCTCAGCAGAAAGCCAAAAGGTGTGAAATGAACCAGAGGATAGAAGCTGTGATTGCGGAGATGCTCTCTAAACAGCCAAATTTTTTTAGTGCTTTGGAGGAACAGTGTGGAGAGTTTTCAACATGAGCAGCAGCAGCTGTTTAGGAGACAGAAGGCTTGAAGGTCAGCCAGCTCAGTACACTGGGTCAGACCGAAGGACCATCTAGCCAAATAGCTTGTCTCCAGCAGATGCCCTCAAGAGAAAGCAAGAGCAGAGGAAATATGTAGAATTATTTATACAGTGTATTTCCTGCACCCCCAGTGATTTCTGGCGTAGGGGCTTCCTGAGCTACAGTCTGTTACATAAATACATTTTTTCTTTGGTTTTATCCTACTATATTTTGATACCATTGCTTCTTATATGAAAAGGGCAAGTGAACCACTATTTCCTTATCCCTTCCTCTGTTATTTATGTTTTTTGTATTTTTTTATACTTTTGTCATACAATTCCTTCAGCTGATTCTTTTCCAGTCTAATGAAACTTTGTTTTATTTAATCGTTATTTGCATGGAAACCATTCCATACCTTTCAACATCTGCTTTTCCTACAACAGCAAGATCTTATTTTTGAGTGTTGATCGCCTGTTCATATCCCATTACAATAAGGAGAAAGTTAATATTGTCTTTCCTCGTATGCATTGCTATATGTTTATCTACTGTATTTTTAGCAGTCCTTTTATCTCTCAGTCATTCAGTATCATGGGCTTCTTCTACAGCTATTTGCAGTTTGGTTTTCTTTTTATAGTTCTTTGTTACGTGTTGTGCGTAGTAAACTTGGTTGGTCTGGCGTTCACCATCTTATCCAGATCATTAATCAGTATGCTGATGTAACTGTGGGAGTCCACTGATAGCATCCCTCCACAGTGAAAACTGGCTCTTAACTGCCATGTTTTCCTTGCTGTATTTTAGCTAATTGTTAATTTATGTGAGGATTTTGCCTTATTTCACAGCAAATTAGTTAAGAACCTTTTGTGAGGGACCAAAGGTGATTGGAAACCTAAGTACGCCTTAGCAATTGGTTGTCTTGTGTTAATTATGTTTTGGTGAACTCTAAAAGATTTGTGAGACGTGACCTCTGTTTGCAAAAGCTGCATTGCCTTGCTTCTTCCTCAGTTTGTTATTTTTATCTATGTGTAGCAAAGGATCTGTCTCAGATTGAAGTATTAATGAATTGTAGGGCAAACTGAAAAAAATGAACTGCTGGTCCTAGGATAATGTTTTGTTTCTATGCAATGGTCTTATGGCAATATGTATGCCCTCCTTTGGCCTTAAGATAAAAAGGGGTCAGTCCAACTTTCTACTCTACCGTAAATTGGTTATAATATGGCTTAGTAAGAAACAGGTATTTGAAACTTGAACCAGTTTGACCCCTTCGTATGCTTTCCCTGTTCTTGGTCATTAGTGTTCAGATCATGCAGTAGGGTGTCTGCAGGTATTAGTCCAGAACTGGAGGGGAAAAAAAAATTACTTTTTCTAATATTATTTAAAATCATATCAAAACTTAGAAGTTGTCTAGAGAAGTCACATTTTCCTTAGAAGTTTACATCATTTGCAACAGTTTAACATTTTGGGAGGAATATTTCTATACTGTAGTATCATAACTTCGGGGTTAATAGATTTTGACCAAGTGATTTTGGACATTTTTTCCCCTTCAATTCGTGAATCTAATGAATAGCTGTGATGTAGATTTTCTAAAATTCTGAGGTTTACTTACACTTGGATATTTTTTCTTTATGCTGGTATCCTATTAAAGCAGTTGATTGAAGTGTAAGAGACCAAATGGAAACATTAAATTGCCAGAGTGACCCACCCATGAATTTTTTGCTGCCAAGTGCTCTTAAATTGCCTAGAATATTACAGAATATTGTTCAACAGCCTGCTAAAAGAAGTACAGCTAATAGTTCACAAGAAGAACACAGGGGTTTGTGTTTAAATTGTCTAGATGTTTTCTGTATCTTGAGAGCTGAGAGGATGGGAACAATAGGTGAAGATGCCTCAGGAGTTTTTATGGTCCTTCATTTTCTGATTCTTGGATTTAAATTTGGTGATTTAAGCGTTTATGTTTGACTGTAATAAGCTGCCTTCTGCTTTATTCTTAGACATTTCAGTTTCCAGACAGGCACGTTAGATTATGTTGATCATTTTTGATTTCAGATTGCATGTGGTTCTGTCAATTATTTTAATTGGTACAGAATTCTAAAATATACATCAGATTCTTCACTATGATATTATTAAACTTATACTAAGCTTTGGAGACACCTTAGCCTTTTGTGGCTAATTCTGTGAAACAGAATAGTCTGTGGACTTGATTATGAAAGATGCACACTGCAGCAACACCAGGAGATCTCAATCAAATGAAAGCTGGATCGTTCTAGGACTGCAAATACTCTGAATGAAATTCGTTTCCCCAAAGATATTGCAGTCTAAAAGATTCTTTAGTGTTACCAACTCTGGCAATTTCATTACAAATTTTTCATTTACTAGAAAAGTGTCCCTCAGTCACTAACTCTCAGTTGTCCTGTTAGAACATGAAACTCGCTGTTTGATTTATTTAAAGCAGTAAATAGAGAGATCAGCCCTTGCTAACTGTAAGAAAGAGCGTGGGAGGGAATGTGTGGAACTAACCTGAAGTCTTTATGAGCAAGAAAAAGAAATAGAACAATTCCCAGAGTGCTCTTTATTTCAAGTAAGTTATGTCTTTTGAACACCTGGGCATAACAGAGCTGAAGTTGGGTCATTCTGTGGTTTATTTTCTTTTGTAAGTACTACTCAGTGCATATTTACAGCTCGTATAAAAATAATGAGCTTTCAACTCCCTTCTCCACTGGAAAGTTCTCTGTACAACCTGGGACAAATAATTTTGATTCAGAGATAGCACAAATGCCTAACTTTGACCTAAATATCTATGACTGTGAATCCTTCTCAACTGCCTCACTGTAAATAGAATTGCAATCCTTATGAAAGAGTGAAATGCTCAGCTGTCATGGTAGTGTGGAGATAGAAGTACCAGTGGAAGCTTTTCAATTTATCAATTGTATGCATTCTGTAAGAAACTCCTAGCTAGTTCTATTGTTTATTTAATAAGAATTTTATTAAGCTCATAATCATGGCCATAAATCAGAGTTGGTACACTAAGCAGTGGTTTCCAGCATTTTCTAATCTGTTTCTAATTTAATTGATTTTTGCCTGTAAATACTATTTTGAAATCATTTGCAAGCAAAACCAGTTACTGTATTTTTTGACAATTTGAGCGTAGTTCAGCACTTTCAGTCATTGGTACAGTGATATAAACCTCTGGATATTATTTCACTAGGAAACAAGCTGCATATTCTGCAAGTGTGCATCTACTAAGATGTATATCTCTCTGCAGTTTCCTGAAAGTTTTAGTTCAACTTTTATAATTGCATAAATGTTTTCTTTTTATCATGTTTCATTCTTGGTGCCTTCCTGCACTATTTAATTTTGATACGTAAGATGCTACAAATGTGAGCAGACTAACAGTCCGTATATAAGCTGTAGGTTAGGTTTGAGTAGACCGTTTTGTCAATAGCTGTATATTCAGGCTAATTCCCATAACTTAATTTGCATTTGTGCACATTTGATTTAAGGTTATTTTCTTTTGTATGTTGTAGTTACATAGAATGAGTAGATTGTGAAATGTTATATTTTCAGTATTCTGAGATCTGGACATCCTTTACTGCTTAGAGAGTATCAGCAGACTTGCCTGTCTAGTAGAAGCGTTTGAAGGAGAACTTCAAAGGAGAAACTACAAAATTCATCATTCCATATATGGATAATAATAACAACACAGAAATCAGAAGTTTAAATTTACTATTAAATAACATTATGGATAAAATTCACAATGCACAAATAGAAACTAGTATTCTCTAATGTAGTATTTACATTAGGATTTTATTTGTGTCTTTTTCTTGGATGATTGTTTAAGACGTGGAAGAGTCACAGAGACCAAATTAATTTAACCAAAATGTATTTTATATTGCATTTAGAGAAAATTCAGGACATTTATGAATAAAAACTATTTCCTTTTGGTTGTCAGTTAGGAACACTAACAAAAATATAAATGTCTTTAATGTGAAGGCAGTACTGAAATTAAGTCTCAAGTATAATATCAAGATAACTAGCGTTCCTTTCTACATGAATGCTTCTTTTTATTTCTCTACTAAATCCCGAATTTCTTGAACAGTTTTATTACTATGATTTTTCACTTCTGAGACGAGCAGAGCCAGAGATGCATATTCATGTTTTTTTCACTGTATTGCCTGATAAACTGCACTTACTGTTTCTCATTTATTCTGTACAGGCTCCATCATCACCTTCTTCACCCATAGCTAATGAACCAAAATACGAGAAGCGCTGGCTAGACACGTTATCAGTTCCTCTGTCAATGGCTCGAATCTCGAGGTACAAAGCTGGAACAGATAAATTAAGGTTCGTAATATAAAAGGAGAAGTGCTGGGTTAGCTAGCTGTACCTAATATTTTGCTGTGAAGCGTCGCCTGTGTAAGAATTCTTTGAGTGCAAATATGAAATTCTTCTTACTGAAAACTATGCAGTCCATCTTCTCTTGAGATTAATGGCATGCATGGCAATTACCAAAGATAAAGTAAAAACAGACAATAAATAAAGCTCCCACAGATGTGTTTCCATAATGTGGTACCTTGGGAATTCAGTTAGCATCAGCAGCTAGTATAGAGGTTAAGCTTGACGTAACTTGAATTAATTTTTAAGGTACTACATTTCATTCCGTATCTCTAATAGAATACTTTCATATTCCTAAACGCTGGTATTATCAGTTAACTCTCCTTTTTTTTCTTTACAAATGATAACATAGTGCACAATCATAATGACTATGCTGCATATCATTGTCGTATAGAAACTCATATTAACAAGAGATTTTGGCAAAGTACATGGTACAAAATACCGTATTTTTTATCCTAGAATCTTTTTGCATCTCACAGACCTAAGTAATGGTTCATTAAGTAGTTGTTGAATAGGATGCCAGAGGTGATGGTCCTGGACTTCAGGAAAGATGAAAGTAAAAATGAAGATTAATAAAGCTTCAATAATGTGCTTGAGAAAGGTTTAGCACATTGCAGCATGCATCATCTTTTCTCTGCAAACTATTCCATGTGGTAGGACTGCCTCAAATCTACCTGTAGTTTTGGTCAAAGTAGTCCACAGTTCTCCATATGTATGAGAACAGGAGTTCATTCACAGTTGTTCCTTTCCATTTCTTTTACTTGTCCTGTATTTATTTACTACCAACTGAAAATGTAATATTTTATTCTGTTCTAGTTCTTGTTAATGAGGGAATTGGAATCTCTATTGAAGTATCAGCTATGCAGGTGGCCTGCTACCAGGAGGTACCAGAAGTTCATGTGTGTACCTTTCTTGATCTATGCCAGATTTGTTACCCGTTTCCTGAAAATGATCTGAAAAACATTATTTTTCTAGAAGGACATTTAGACTGCTTTTAATTTAGAGCAATTAGTCTCCTAAATCAGTTTACAACTCCTCTCCCAAACTTTGTCTTAAAGCATCACAGGAGAATAACAATACATTGACCAGAAAAGTTTTAAGTTCTTCCATGGTCTTTGTCTGAACTCTTACTTCCATTTTATTTAGTCTCTTATCACTTCACCACTTTCCTCCTTCTGACTTCAACTGACCAGTTCCTGTGGTCCAACCCTTCCCAGTCTATCACAGGCCTCCAACTATTCAAGGCTTAGAAGTTCTCCTGCGAATTAAGTGAACACATCTCTGTGTGCACATTTAGACATCGATTCATTACCAACTTAGCATCAATGCTCTTAAATTTAAAGGATAAGTGGAAGATGGAACATTTAAACCTCGGAGTTCAGTTATCACCCTGATAGTCTGAAGCATTTTCACTCCTGTTCCATGCACTCTGTGCATTCGATGGACTGATCCCAAGGGATTCGTTCCCAAAACAGTAGTGCGTGCATTTTTAGAATTCTTTTAAATAAAACACCTTCTGGTATTGTACTGAGTCTGGCTGAGATGGATTTAATTTTCTTCATAGCAACTCATGTAGTGCTGTGTTTTGGTTTGTGACTAAAACAACATTAATAACACGCCAGTGTTCTGGTTGTTGCTGAGCAGTGCTTGCGCAACATCACGGCTTTCCTTTCTTCCAGCTCTGCTCCCACTCAGCGAGTAGGCTGGGGGGGGAAGGAAGTTGGGAGCAGACACAATCTGGGCAGCTGACCTGAAATGACCAAAGGGATATTTTATGCCGTGTAACATCGTTCTCAGCAATAAAAACTGAGAAGAGGGGGTTGAGGGGAGCTAGCCATTGCTCGGAGACTGGCGGGGCATCATTCTGGTTGTGGGAGATGATGAGTCACCACTTGCTTTGTGATGGGTTGGTTTGTTGGTTTTGTTTCCTCTTCCCTTTGCGTATTAAACTGTGGGTATAAACTTTGCTTATTAAACTGTGTGTTGAAATAACAACCCACAAATTTTCTTGGTCTTCCTGTTCTCTCTGCTGTCCTGCTAGAGAGGGGTGGGGGAGTGACTAGCAGTGTGGGTCCTTAGCTGCTGGCCCAGGATTGACGTATCACAGATATGTTTTTCTTATAAGGATTGAGGAGCTTAGTGCTTTCAGTTTCAGTCTTGGAAAGTAGCGTATTCTCTTGTGATGCATCTCGCTCCCATATATATTTAGTATACACAGCACTCCTTTATTACTGAGGGTTTTTTCCTTTCTATTGTAAACTCTCTAAAGGAAGATAAAATTGTTGCGTAAAGCCTGTCACCATCCCATGATACTTCACTTCTTCTAAATGCTCCTTGCTTGTTTTGGCAAACCAGCAAGAATATCTATAAGAGCATTAAAGGAATACCACCTTGAGATTAACTGCGAATGAGGTGTTTCCCATGTTCTTACTAAAGGTGTTTATTTTTGCCTGAGGGTACCAGATTGCTCTTATCCTATTCTCTCCTCCTCTGATATACAGGTACATATTCTTACTGTTACCCACTTGTATTCTTTCTTTTACATTTCCCCATGTTCGTATAAGCATAAATTCCAACATTTGTCTTCAGTAATTGCTCTCTAAAATCGTCTGCTTTGCACAAAATAAAGCCTACAAGCAATTACAAGTGTAAATGATGACAGCAGTCTAGATAACAATCCTTTCAACCATATTGACGTCTCTCCATTCCCATTCACATTTCAGCCATCAGTCTAAAGTCATTTGAATGAGTCCATGACAATTCCCCTCTATGCAGCATCTTGCTCAATATTTTTGACCATTTTTTAATTAGAAACATGTTATATAGCTAGAGTTGTCAGACTGTAGTGCACTTTTAATGTGGTTTACGTAAAATGTAGTCTGATCTAATCAGATTAGACTATATTACTTTGTTTCTGGTTAAACTATGCACTTTAAATTCCTCAGGACTTCATAGGAGTTTTCCAGTAACTTTGGCAAGAAAGGGAGTACTTTTAGCTCTTATATCATGGTATGGCCAGGAACACCTGTATCTGTTAGATTGTTACTCTTTTTTCATTGTAAGAGAAAGGAGTTACCTTTGACTTATTTCACTTGACTTTTCATTTTATTTTTCCCAGGAAGTCTTAAGACCAGTGACCTAATGACACGAGAGTATATTTTTTGTATATTTTAGATTTTGTCAGCACCGTAGATATTAACAGAAACAAGAGAGAATGGGGTAGATTTTTTTCCTTCCTTATACATGAGGAGGAATGAATGAAAATACTGCAGTGTGGGACTGTAAAGTATGTTTGTCCATATCACAAAACAAAAGCCAAAAAATCCCCTAGACTATTTCAATGGAAAGGTAAGAAATGTAGTAGATGCCCTTCCTCTGCTCAGTGCAGGAGCTTTCCAGATATACTTCAGAAGGTGTGAACATGGAACAAAAACAACACAAAGCCAAAATCACATCTAATTACTGCATTTCTTATTGTTGATATGATTGGAGACTATCTTAATATTTTTATGCAGCATGGTGATGAGTCTTTTTGAGCAGTTATTAATTCAATAACTTTTATTCACTTGCCTTTATAATATAGCACCACTGCTTCTATCATTCTGCACATCTCACAATCCATCAGTGTCAGTTTTCTCTGTAAGAGGTAGGGTAATATACACAGTGAGAACTCTGTTCCTGTGAATACTCTTAATTGCTAGCTGATAATAGAAACATTTTGTAACTGTTAAGGATAGAATTGGTCACTAAATATGATGTAAGTGTAACAGAAATAATGAGATCAGTAAGTCTTTCTCATACAAAGGAATTTGTACTTTATGGCATAGTTTGGGGTGTTTTTAGGTTTAGGATAGAGAAGTAAAGATAAGTAGTCTTATAGAAGATGGAGAATGTAGTTCATTCATTTATAATCTTTCGTTTTTCTTATGGAATCTCTAAATCCTTACTTGGAAAAAGAAGAAGGTAAGTCTTTTCAGTCCTTACAGCTCATACTGACAGAACTATATAATCATGTTTATTTGTTGTATTGACTGGAGCTTGAGGTCAAGGTACACTAGCTATAATCCCTTGAATATAAGGAGCGTAGAGACTAAAAAAAACCAAACAAAAACTTGCTTATTTGGAAGATGGAGATTAAATTAAAGAAATAAGTGGACTGGACGTAATTCAGGCCCAGTGTCTTTGACCCCATGTAGTTATGATCCCAATTACAAAGCAACTTAATTAGATTTAGGTGTTAGTTTCTATTTCTTGGTATTCTTGCCATTGCAGTTACTACAGAGTATTGTGTGTTTTTTTATAATGGGGTTTTGGGTTTTTTGTTGGGTTTTTTTTTAATTGTCTCATTTGTTTCTTAACAGAATCTTTCTGAAGGATTCTATTTTCCATTTTAATATTTCAGTGAGTTAACAAAACACTTTTAATTAGATAAATAAATTGGAAAGTAAGAAATTGAATAAACCATTTTGAGAAAGATATAGGAATTAAACACAACATCTCTGAGTTACAATGACTGAATGAGTATTTGCTCACAGTTTTCAGTAACAATTGTGTCGAACATGGGGGTAAGAAGAACGAGTGTGTACCTGAAAGATACCACAATCAGACTGATTTGGAGCAATAGGGTGGGAGACAGTGGCGGGGAGATTAACATCAGATAAAAGGTAAGATGATAAAGAAAGTGTAGGTTTGGAGGGTTATTATCAATAGAGTGCCTTAAGTGCTATTTGACTGATGATGCAGAAAACAGTACACTCGTTAAAATCATTGGTGACACAGAAGAGCAGCACAGTATGTTATGAAAGGATGGATCTGTTGGAAATGGGATGCAGCAGAGTAGTACGAAGTGCAGGGGGATGGCATTAAGGATTGTTACTACAACAAAAGAAATTATGAAGTAGCTTTCATGGGAGGCTAGTGGAGCCTTTTGGTAGACGGCAGTAGGGGAA